GCCAGCAGTTACCCGGACTTGCCTCCAAGTGTAATCCTCTTGATCTCAGCTTCCGCAGTAGCCACTGTGTGAGCCACTGTTGTCTGACTTGTTCAGAGTTTTTAAAGATTTTGGTCCTACTACTCACATAGTTGTGCCCAAATAACACGCAAATAGAAATTGCTAATTTTTATTTACTTTGTGCTTTTACTATGTTTCCCTTTTTAATTTAGTGTCCAAATATATGAGAAAACTCCACAACAGGGGAAAAAAAAAACAAGGAAAAAGAGAGTATGTAAAAATGTGTGTAACATTCCCATTTGACCAGAGAGGGTCATGAAGGTGCTGAAAGGATCACTGAATGAGCCACTGGGGGCTGAGATATCAATAATGAATGACAATGACAAGGTTAGCAGTGATGGATGCTATTTATACCAGTGAGAACCAATTATACTGTTCTGTGTGTCACCTCTAAGTCTAGATCAGTCCATACTAGATCAGCATTTTGTGTACAAACCATCACTGACTCCATTTGATTCTGCTGTCATCTGGTAGGTTTTATTAACTTCTGTGTATATGTAGGCACAATTTTAGGAAGGAAGAAACATCTATGTTAGATCTATGAACTATGAATTGCCTGACTGTTTACCAAAAATTGTTACTTTCACCAGGGAGAAAAAAAGTAATGGAGGTTTGAGAGGAAGATTGGGAGTTAAAGGAAATAAGGAAGCTATCTTTTTTGTAAATGAATAACCACTCCCACCCCCCACATAACACTATAAATATTGTATTTAAAATGTTAATCTCTTGGTGCTGGGGCTACTTGTGGTTTTTATTTTCCTCTATGCTTTTTAGAATGTCCTGATTCTAAGGTAAATACAGTTTTATAACAAATCAACAAGAGATTTAAAAATGTAACTAAAGTCAAAACACTCTTTAGGGAAGCTGGAAGAAAATAAAAGTATTAATGTGATAAAGATAAGATTCTTAATTAAGGAAGGGACCTTAAAGATCACTTACAGAGTTGAGCATATTGGTGCATGCCTGTAATCTTAGCATTAGAAAAGCAGAGTCAGGAGGATAAGTAAGTTCAAGGCCAGCCTGGGCTACATAGTAAGATCCTCTTTCAAAGAAATCTTTAAAAAAAAAAAAAAATCACTTAGAATCCATCCAGATTCTAGATTAATATAGTAAAGGTGTGTTCCATTGGCCAGTGCTGAACTATGTATTATTGGTTAATGATAAGTATAAAATTGAGAGAAAGCTTTTAGCACCTTTGTGTTAAAAACTTTTGTGTTTGATAGCACCCAAATATGTGCTTATTTTTCTGGTAATTGATGTTTTTTAATTAATTAATTTTGTAAAAATATCGGTCCATGATTGGATGGAACATTTTAAAAAGCAGGCCCATTAAGTCTACCTATTTAAAAATAGATTGATCAGTGAAATTCAGAAATCTGAGAACCAGTGATTTTTATCTAAGGTTATCTAATTCCTCACCCAGTGTCTCTCAAATATCATTACTAGCTGCCAAGCACTATTGTAAATACTTTGCAAATGTTTACTGGTTGAAATCTTAATAACAGCCAAATGAGATAGGTACTTACATTATTTTCATTTCACAAGTATAGAAACTGAGGCACAGAGTTTACTCACTTAAGGTTCCCTAGCTTGTAAGTGGTAAAGCTAGAATTTAAACCGAAGTAGTCTGGTTGCAGAGATAGTGTTGTTAACTACTGTATTCTGTAGTCACTATGCAAAAACTTTAAGGTCAAGACATAGTAGCTCATGTGTGTAATCCCAACTACTTGGGAGGTGGTGATTGGAGACTTGGGTTTGAGACCAGTACAGGCAAAAGGTTAGATTCTATCTCTAAAAGAATAAGCTAGGAGCTGGGTGCTGATGGTTCATGCCTATAAGTCCTAGCTAATCAGGAGGTGGAGATTGGCAGGATCATGGTTTGAGGCCAGCCCTGAGCAAAAACTTCCTGAAACCACAATAGGTGGTGCAGTAGCGTGTACCTTTCATCCCAGCTATGTGGGAGGTGGAGATAAGGAGGATCATCATTCCAGGCCAGCCTGGGCAAAAAAAGTTCCTGAAAACTATACTCTACAGAAAAAAGCTGAGCGTGGTGGCACATGCCTGTCATCCCTTGATGGCCAGAAGCATGAATAAGAGGGTCATGGTCTAGGCTAGCCCAAGCAAAAGTGAGACCCTATTTCAAAAATGACCAAAGCTACAAGAGCTTGGAGGCATGGTTCAGGCAGTACAGTGCCTGCCTAGCAAGCATGGAGTCCTGGGTTCAAACCTCAATCCCCTCCCCCTGCCAAAAAAAAAAAAATAGGCTGTCTGTGGTGGATCATGCCTGTAAATATCAGCTATGTGGGAGACAGAAGTAGGAGCATCTTGGACTGAGGCTGGTCCCAGGCCAAAAAAAGAAAAAAAAAAAGGCCCAAGACCCTATCAGAAAAATAACTAAGGCAAAAAGGACTGAGGATGTGACTCAAGTGCTAATAATGAGGGAAAAAAAAGTAATTTTCAGTTGATGATGATCTGCTATGTTTTTAAATGCAGGATGCGGTTGGGTTGAACAGTTGTCTGTACAGCATCTTCATCTGCATGCCTGCCCTACTAGCTAAATACTTTATTGCCCAAATCATTGTAACATTAAAAACAAAAACACAAAAAATCCTCGCATTCTTCATTTCCAAATGTCTCCCTGCATGAAAATCTTGTAGAGATGCAGAGCATATTTTATAGCTGTAAAGTTGTTTCTTCTGTAGGAATCTGCTTTCTGACTTATACTGGTTGGTCTTAGATTTGTATTTCAGAACTAGGGTGATCATCTTTAATACCAAACATCTATCTGTGTGATGATCTGCACATAGAATTTCTGGAGCCTTGCTTTTCTTAATTTTTGTCCTTAGATTGTTGTTCTTGGTGAAATAAGAAAATAAGAATATAAAGAGCACATTAAGGCTATTGTATCATTTATTATGGATTCTGTATTTTATTTGCCTGTAACTTTGGTATCAAATCATACTGTTAATCCTCTTTTTCTTGTTGTTGTGGTACTAGGGTTTTGACTGTTTGCAAGGTAGGCACTCTACCACTTGAGCCACACCCTCAGCCCACTGTTAACCCTTTACCTAAAAGCCTAAAGTCTTTATTGTTTGAATTACTGGGAGCCTTATCTCTTTCATCCAGTTTTTGTTCATTTGAAGTTTTGAATCTTAAGTGTAAGATTTCATATGTATACCTTGAATGTCTGTCTGTCTATCTAGCTATCTATGTGGTGCTGGGAATCAACCCCAGTGTTTCCCAGCCCTTTTTAAATACAGTCTTCTTTTTAGCTCAATGTTCTTCCTGAAAAGAGTCCATTTTCCTTTAGTTCTGTCAGTAGGTCATTAATTATTCTTCCTGTCATCTGTAAGGTTGGTAAACATACCTTTTATATCTTTAGTCAAGTTACTGAGTTACAGATTTTCAATAGGGACTTCGCATATATCTCAGTCAGTGGTAAAGCATCTGCCCAACATGGTCAAGATAAAATAAAACAAGAAAAGTTTAACAGGACTGTATGGCATGCTGCTAGATATTTCTTTCTGTTTTGATGTATATCAGTTTATTTTTTCCATTAAGCTAACTAACACATCACCATAATTGTACAGTGATGAGACCTGTATGTATGAATATGGTAAATTGTAATAGGAGTTCTGGGATAGTAGGTGTTTATTAATCCATTTTCCATTGTGATAACAGAATACCTGAGGCTGGGTACTTTATAATGAAAAGAGGTTTAGGGATGGTGGAGTGGCTCAAGCTGTAAGAGCACCTGCCTAGCAAGCGCAAAGCCCTGGTTAAATCCCCAGCACCGCCAAAAAAAAAAAAAAAAAAAAAAAGAAAAGAAGTTTATTTAGCTCACAACTTTGGAGGCTGAAAGTCCAACAGTCTAACACTGGCTCTAGTGAGAGCCTTATATTAGATGACATGATGGTGGGAGCAAATTTGAAGAGAGATCACATGGCAAGACAGGAAGACAGTGAGTAGGGAAGAGTAGGATCTTGATTTTTTAAGAATGCAATCTTTAGGGTGTGTTTTGAGCAGTAGAGCACCTGCCTAACAAGTGTGAGGCCCTGTATTTCAGTACTGTCAAAAAAAAAAGAAGAAAAGGGAAAAAAAACCCACTCTTGAAAATTAACTTGTTTTAAGAACTGCATTAATGCCTTCCTAGGTCAATTCTCCCAATGACCTGAATACCTCCCACTAGGCTCTACTCTTTCTTCTTCCCTCCTTTCCTTCCTTCCCACCTCTCCTTCCTTCTCCCTTCTCTCCTTTCCTCTCCCTTCTCTCCTTTCCTCTACTCTTTCCTTTCCTATCTCACAAGGTCCCCTATGCAGCCAAGGCTGTCCTCATACTGTCTGTGTATCCCAGACTGATCTCAAACTCAAAATATCCCTACCTTGGCCTCCTTATTGCTGAAATTACAGGTGTGCACCGCATACCTGACTGTTCCAGCTTTTATTAAAAGATTTTGTCATCTTCCAACATCACCACACTGGGGACCAAGGTTACAACACATGAACTCTTGAGAGACACACTCAAACCATGTCCAAACCCTATCAAGGTGTTAGGAAGAATCGGCTCTCAAGTCATTGGATTTTCTGCTTGAAGTTCGTTTTTTTCCCCCCATATGCTAGTTGGCAGAGTAATCTTTAGAAATAACCCCCATAGTTATTTATAAGGAGCTAAGGATTTGCAGTAATAAATAGGTACAAAATAGATCAGAATCTTAACAAAGTATGATGTTTATTCTTCAGTATGTTAGAAAAGTCCTCTTGCATATTGAATATTATTAGAGGAAAAGTAGGTCATCTTTTGGATCCAGAGTCTCAGTATTATTAAGTTTGGAATTGAACTTTGCATTCTTCTCTCTTTTTCCCTTGTGAGAAATACCTCTTTTCATTTATTGGGATTCATACTGTTAACTAAGGAAAAGTTTATTTATTTATTTTTTTCAGCTTGCTGAACTAAAGCAAGAATGTCTTGCTCGTGGTTTGGAGACCAAAGGAATAAAACAAGATCTTATCAACAGGCTCCAGGCATATCTTGAAGAACATGGTGAGTACTTTATGGAGGCAAGGTGATGTGTGAGGGGATTAATTTTCAGACTCTGCCAGTTAGAAGAGTTCTTCCTTTCTTAGGTCATTGGTGACCTAAGATACATTGAAAGCATCGATAAAATGGGCTGGGCATGGGAGTGCATCCCTGTAATCTATCACTTGGAGGAAGATTGCAAGTTTGAAGCCAGTCTGGGCTTGTAGTGAGTGAGACCTTATCTCAAAAAACAAAAAAGTCCACCTCTTGGTCATCCAAAATGGTGGTTATTTTAATAAATATATTTATATATGGGGTTTGAACTCATGGCCTCACACTTGCTAGGCAGGCGCTCTTATCATTTGAGCCACTCCACCAACTCTTAATTGTGTTGGGTTTTTTTGAGATAGGGTCTCATGAACTATTTGCCTGGGTCTGGCTTCGAACCTTGAGACTCCTGATCTCTGCCTCCTGATAGCTAGGATTATAGGCATGAGCCACCACTGCCTGGCTAATATGATTTTTTTATTAAAGACAAATGTTGGGAGAGGAAGGGGGTGGGATAGGTAAGGGGGGTGCAGGGGAAGTGGGGAGAAATGACCCAAACATCGTATGCACATATGAATAAAAGGAAAAAGAAAAGATGATTAAAAAAAAAAAAAAAAGGACAAATGTTTAAAATTGCCTCATCTCTTGAAAAAACAAACAAAAATCCCCAAATTTGGGCTGCAGGCTCAAGTAGTAGAGCACCTGCCTAACAAGCACAAGGCCCTGAGTTCAAACTCTAATACCTCCAAAAAGTAGGATCTTGCCATGTTGCTCAGGCTGGCCTTGAATTTTTCAACATGCTATTTAAAAGTTAGCATGGAGAGCTGGGATGTAACCCTGTGTTAGAGCACTTGCCTCGCATGCACGTGGCCTTGGCTTTGATTCCCAGCACTGAAAAAATAAATGTTTGTCTGTATGTACGTGCATGTGTATGTACATATGTTAGTTAGCATGGAGAGCCAGACCTGTAATCCTAGCAGCTTGGGAGGCTGGAATAGGAGAATTGTGAACTTGAGGCCACCCTGGATAACTTGAGAACTTGTTTGGAGGTTCTAGCAGGGGAGCGTAGCTACTCCTATAACCTCCTCTTTGGGGATGTTTGTCTTCTTCAACCAAGCGTGCAGCTTCAGGAGGGACGCACATGGAAGGTACGCACATGGAAGGTGAGGGATGAAGAGGACACCCCCCTAATCAGCTAGATCAGCTGAATCAACCCTGGTGATCAATGGGGTGACAGATGTCACAGCCAGATTGCCCTCACATCCGAGCCTGGAGAATTTAATGAAACCCTATCTTAAAAAAAAAAAAAAAGAGTATCTCTAGACTGAGAGTTAAAAGGATTGAATTTTAATTCTACTCATGCCAGAAATTTAAATTTACTAGGTATCTTTTGACAGTCACTGTGTACATGACCAAGTGATTTTTTTTTTTATGGTACTGGGGATTGAACCCAGGGCTTTGTGCGTGCTAGGCACTAAACCATTGAGCTATACTCCCAGCCCCAATGTATATGTTCTTTTTTTTTTTTTTTTTGAGTTCAAACTGAGGCTTGAACTCAGTGCCTCACACTTGCTAGACAGGTACTCTACCACTTCAGCCACTCCACCAGCCCTTTTTTGTGTTGGGTATTTTTGAGATAGGATCTCATGAACTATTTGCTATGCTGGCTTTGAGCTGCAGTCCTCCTGATGTCTGCCTCCTGGATAGCTAGGATTACAGGCATGAGTCATTCACATCCAGCTATATGTTCTTAATGTTGACTAAGCACTGCCAACTTGTTTCCCAGAATTACCCTGTAAATCTGTACTCTTATGACCAGTGCAGCAGTATTCTTATATACTGCACAAACCTAAACTTGGCATTATTCTATCAAGCATCCTATTTTTGCTAATTTTATAGTGTTTTAAGTTTACTTTTCTCTCTGAAAAAAGTTTAAATGTCCTTTGTGTTCATAGCTTTTTGGGTTTCTTTGTCCATTTTTCCATTGGATTTCCTTCATTTACTTACTGGTTTGCAGGGATCTCTTTTATATTCTAATAACTATTACTTTGTTGGTTTTAGACATAGATATATTTGTCCTTTGTCTTTTAAGTTTTTCTTTGGTGTCTTTTAAAATTTTTTTTTGTTGAACTCACAAGGCCTCATGATTGCTAGGCAGGAACTCTTGATTGAGCCATGCCAGCAGTCCTTTTCGCTCCAGTTATTTTGGAGGTAGGATCTTGCTTTTTGTAGAGACTGGCTGACCTGGATCAGGATCCTCCTCCTATTTTAAGCTTCCTGCACCCAGTCACTGGATGACAGGCAGTCACTACCACATCCAGCTTTTTTCCATTGAGATGGTTGGTGGGGGTCGTCTCACAAACCTTTTCTTTTTTTTTTTCCTTTTGTGGTACTAGGTTTGGCACCTCACAAACTCTTTTGCCCAGGCTGGCTTGGAATTTGATCCTTCTGATCTCAGCCTCCCATGTAGCTTGGGAGCTTGGGAGCTTGGGTTGACAGGTACATACCACTGAGCCCAGCTTTTTTTTTTTTTTTTCGGTACTGGGGTTTGAACTCAGGGCCTGTACCTTGAGCCATTCCACCAGCCTTTTTTTGTGTGCGTGATGGGTTTTTTTTGAGATAGGGTTTCATGAACTCTTTGCCTGGGTTGGCTTTGAACCTTGATCCTTCTGATCTCTGCCTCCTGAGTAGCTTAGATCACAGGCGTGAGCCCTTGGCACTTGGCCTGAGCCCAGCTATTGATTGAGATGGGGTTTTGCGAACGTATTTCCCTGGATTTCCTCAAACCTTAATCCTCTTGATCGCAGCCTTCCAAGTAGCTAAGATTATAGACATGCACAACTGGTGCCCAGCTTGGTGTCCATTCTTAAGTAGAAATCCTTACTTTTGAAAAGTCAATTTTTCTCTTGTTTTTTTTGCTTCTGAGTTTTGTTTTGTTTTCTTTTTAAACCCTTCCCCCCCAAGTAAATTTCAAAAATATTTTCCTATTGTACTTTTTAAATTAACTTTATAGTGTGACCTCATCACATTTAGTTTTTCAGTTCATGTGTAATTCAACTCTGTAGTGTTAGGTAGCAGTCTGGTCTTAAAATGTCCCAAGTTATATAAATACCAATTTTGCCTTCATTATTGAATTTTATGTGGGGAAAGCAAAGTGATTGTAATTTTACCCTTAGCACAGTGATCAAGATGGTTTTGTAGTGGGGCTTGACCTGACCTGAATATTTTAATGTTCTTTAGCTGAAGAGGAAGCAAATGAAGAAGATGTACTGGGAGATGAAACAGAGGTGAGTTGGAAAAAGGTTTCTTTTGTTGTTGTAGTTTGTTTGTTTGTTTTTGCAGTACTGGGATTTAAACTCAGGGCCTCAGTGCTTTCTAGGCAGGTGCTCTTAACCATTTGAGCCACTCCACCAGCCCGTGAGTTGAAATAATGAGGTTCATCACTGGCCTAATAATGTACCACTACCTTGACTACATTCCTTAATATCAATCATAGCATTTAGATGCAAATTTATAAGAGTTGCTGAAGAGGAAAGTTATGTTTCTGAAAGATTGTTTCATTTTGGAGTTACTCTTCTGTTGATGGATATTTACTTCTGATTTATGTTAACCCTTGTTTCATTTGGTTTTAGGAAGAAGAACCAAAGCCCATAGAACTGCCTGTCAAAGAGGAAGAACCCCCTGAAAAAACTGTTGATGTGTAATTATCCCTTTTTTTATAATACAGTTTTTGTATTAACAGACAGTTCTGTTTTTATTGGGTTTAAAGTTTGACTCTGTTTACCTCCATACACTCACACGGACCTTTTCATTTCTGGTTAGATTAGACATTTTTAGAAGGGTCTACTTCACGTATGGTTCTAGTGACTCAAAGCACTTTGTGTCCCAAGTTATGTAATAGGTAATTAGAACCAGGTGATTTCAAGTCCAGACACAGTTTAGTTGTAGTCTGTTCTTTCATAGTAATAGATTATTCTGTTAGGACATATATCCTCGTACAGTGTATAGAGTTTTATACTCTATTATAAAACTGCGTATCAGAATTTTGTAAGGGAGGAGGGGATTGAGCAGAGGTTTTATCTCTTAAGTAACACTGTATCCTCTTTTTTTTTATTTATAGTGGATAAAGGGAGGACAAAATACTAGAGTGGGAAATGGGTTTCAATTTGTTTAAACTATCCTGTGAAATTTATCACAAATATTTTTGGGGGGGGTTCTTTCCACAAATGTCTGACTATTTTGTATTTCACATTAAGAACAATTCTGTCCCTTTTACCATTTTTGTTCCTTATAGCTATGTTGAATGCGTTTAATTATAAAGGGCAATATAGTTACAAGTAAAAAGTTAAATAGTAATAGAGGAATATGTAAATTTAAAATTAAGTAACTCCCCCAGCGGTGGAGATTGAACTCAAAGCTTCACACATCCTAGTCAAGCACTCTACCACTGAGGTACATCCCCAATGCTTCCCATCAGACTTTACAGAGTTTTTTAGTAGATTCTAGATTCTTTTGTGGTATTTAACATAAGGGATGTGTGTGTATATTTAGGAATATATGTAGTGTTTATGTGGAAATGTATATACACTATGCACACTGTTTCTTTTTTTTATTTTTTAGTAGTATTTGGGGTTTGAACTCGGGACCTTATGCTTGCTAGGCAGGCACTCTACCACATGAGCCACTCTGTTAGCCCATGCACACTGTTTCTTGATTTTTCTTTCACATTTGGAGTTTTTTAATATATAATCGGAATTTTTTTTCCAGTGGTACTAGGGTTTGAATTTGAACTCAGGGCTTCATTCTTGAGAGGCAGGCACTCTACTGTTTGAGCCACACCTCCAGCCTCCAGCCCATAATTTCCTTATTTAAATGTTACATTCTATGAGTTTTACACATCAACCTTGTAAGTATAGTAAGTTGCTCTTGTACGTGGTGAGTCTTTCTTTCTGTTTTTTGTTTTTTGTAGGAAATTGTAAGCTAATACAAAATGAGAATAGTATGATAGATTCTTCATGTACCCATCACCCAGATATAGTGGTTATTACCTTAGAACCTTTATTCTTTCTAGCAGTTAATAGTATTCTATTTATTGGAGGAATGGAAATTTATTAATTTATTTTACCTTTATTTTTTTCCTGTGGGATAGGGTCTTGCTATGTAGCCCAGGCTGGCCTAGAACTCATGATCCTCTTGCCTTAGCCTCCCAAGTACTGGGATTACAGGCATGTACCTCCATACCCAACAGGAATGGTAATTTATTTTACCATTCTCCTGTTGATACACATTTAGATTAAAAAAAAAAAAACAGTGTTCTGTGTCCTTATCTGACTGTTTTTACACTTATGCAGGTATGTCCATAGGATAAATTCTTAGCAGATTTGCTGTATCACACAGAATGTGCACTTAACATTTTGATAAGAGTTTGTCAGATATTTCTTTGTAAAGCCATTAGTTAAGTATTTGTTCAAACTTATGTTTTTGCTGGAGATTGAATACAGGGCATCATGTATACCTATCATGCATTCTGTGCTCTGCCAGTAAGCTACACTCTCAGCCTCCATTATAAGTTTATAATTAGAGATAGAGCAATAGCTTTGAAATGAAGATGTTTTGGGAACCTTTGAGAAAGAAGGAAGATCAAATGAATACAATGATAATTGGCTTGTTTGGGTTAAAAAATAATGTTGAAAGTTTGGTATATGTCAAATGTGCAATTCTCTTGTTTTAGGGCGCTTTAATTCTATTGGTAAATTTTGAAACAAGGAAATTAAAAGTAGGGTTGTGTTGGTAATTTTGCTTTTTGCTTTTTAGCGTAATAGTTGTGGTTTTAGACTAAAGTATGTATGGAAAGATTGTTGGCCTCTATTGTTGAGGGAGTGGTTTTTTTTTTTTTTTTTTTTTTTTATTCATATGTGCATACAAGGCTTGGTTCATTTCTTCCCCCTGCCCCCACCCCCTCTCTTACCACCCATGAGGGAGTGGTTTTTGTATGTGACTGTGGGTAAGAGAGAAATTTGTCTTCCCAGAATGTGACTTGTATTTACTACTTGAGTTTAATTGTATCTGAGAGAATTGGAATGTAGAAGGAACGTTCCTCTCTTGGGTTTCCATTCTGCTATGAGGTCTAGTGCAATGATTGTGTTTCAAGATGAAGGAGTCATTAACCTGCAGTTGATGGAGAGGACTGCTCTCTTAATGACATTGGACTTCAAGTAAAACATTAGACTTTTGTGGCCTTTTTTTGCCTGAGGCAGAAAGGGTTGGCGAAAGATGCTTAGGAAATAAGAAGTATGTAGAAATTTCTTAAAAAGTCAATAATGTTCAAGGTTGATTTAAGTTCTTTGAATATTTGGAAGGGAATCCTGTTACTTCATCTTTGACCTGAGGGTCTCCATAAATACACTTCTGTTTCTAGTTTGATGGTTATTTTTTTCCTCAGCTGAGGCCGTCAAATATTGTAGGACTTAGTTATGGTCAGCAGGGGGCACCCATTGCTTGTCTGCTGGTCCAGGAACCTCCAACAAAAGGATGGAGGAGAGAGTAAGTTCCTGTTCCAAAATTGCTTCCTCTGAAAATGTCATTAAACCATTACTCCCTTTCAGGCATCAAATGGGAAAAGTGTCCGGGATATTGGAACAAAAGCTGCCCATGTCTCTAAATGAGGGACACATTATGACCCACAGTTTTATGGGAGTTGTTTGTTAGATAGTTAATGCCCTTCCATTTATCCTGGGTATTTCCGAACTTTGTCTCCCACCCCTCCTCTTTTGTTTTCTCAAACCTTTTGACCAGTAACTTGCCATGTTTTCCTAATTCAACTCACTGCCCCCTGTTAGTCTTTTTTTCCTTCTTATTCCTTTGGCAATTTTATTTGTTCCACTTTGACTGTTTCATCTAGAACTGCAGTCCCCATGGGAGAAAGGAGGGATTTGTGAGAGAAGGAAATCAGGACTCATAGAGCATTCATGAATTGTTCTTAGGAAATTGAGAAATAAATGAGGATTAGAGGGATAGGCATTAGTCTAAAAGTAAATTTAAAGTTACTAAACACAAATGAAATGATTTTTTGGTATCTTTGAATATTCCCTATGGCTGAAAATATTTAGCCACATTTATTTCCTTCTACCTTAGATAAAGTAGCTTAGTCTTACTTGACCTTTTTCTTCTAAATAGATAATAGTTCAAGGAACCAGAGTTCTAGTGAACTTCATGTTTCTTTGGATTAAGGGGTGGTAGAGAGATAGGGGGCAGAGGATATGACTCAAGTGAATTCTTACCCATTTCTAAGGTTTTGATCTGAAATATCAGTTTCTGATTTTTAAAACTCTTTCTTTTCTAGGGCAGCAGAGAAGAAGGTGGTAAAAATTACATCTGAAATACCACAGACAGAGGTAGGGATTCTTTTTAGTAGAACATAATTAATATTTCTTTTTTCTTTCTGTTTTTTGGCTTTTTTTTTAATTGAGAAAGCATCTCACTATGTAGGCTAGGGTAGCTTCAAACTTGAAATCCTCCTGCCTTAGCTTCCTGAATGCTTGGATTATAGGCGTGTGCCACCATGATGAGCCATTTCTGGTTTTTTTTTTTTTTTTCTTTTGTCTTCACATCATTTCAAAATTTTTTTTGAAATAAAATAGAGAATCATTATTGACAGATTTTTATTTTATTTACTTATTTGTTTTAAGTAGGACTGGGGTCTGAGGTCAGGGCTTTGTGTTTGCAAAGCAGGTGCTCTACTGCTTGAGCCACACCTCAACAGGTTTTGATATTGATTTCTCATCCCAACTACTCTAAGAAAATATTTCGGCTGGCATAGGGATACCTACCTTTGCAATAGTATTGTTGTGCATAACTTTATAGTCTTAACTCTCTAAAATGTTTACAAATCTAGGATTAGAGTCTGAAAGTATTGGGTCATACCTTGAAAAGATAGCCATGGTAGATGTCCCCTTTAAACTGCTAGCAGATCAGATGGAAATTTCTTAGGATTCTATCTCAAGAACTCTGAAACCAGGTTCTAGTTGACATCTTGTGTTCATTTTTGTATCTTCAAAGTAGAGAATTATTGAACTTGCAGAATGCTATGAGACAACACCTTTTTTTTGTTTGTGGTACTAGGGTTTGAACTCAGGGCTGCAGGCTTGCTAGGCAGGCCCTGTACCACTTGAGCCACTCTGCCACTCCAACACTATCTCTTTTCTCTAACTGAAAGATTACCATTGGTGTTAGAACCAAACTCTTTCTTTGATCCTTTTTCAAAAGTCAACCAGACACAGTTTTTATGTTCTTGGCTTTGTGCAGAATGTCAGTTGTATTTTATTCTTCCCTTTTGTTTTTGAGAGCATGAACATAATAATAGGTTGTGTTTGCTTTCTGGAAACAGCTGTTACATTAAGCCTTAGGTTGGATGTAACCTGATGTGCTATAGATTGTCAGTATTTTAAGTTTAAATCTTAAGAGATTACTCCTAATGTTCATAAGATAAAACCTCTAAGCAACTTTTTTAAACCAGAAATTGAAGTTTTCATTTCTTCTCCTTTTATGTATTATCACTTAGAGAATGCAGAAGAGAGCTGAACGATTCAATGTACCTGTGAGCTTGGAGAGTAAGAAAGCTGCCCGGGCAGCTAGGTGAGTCTCCAGCTTTTTGGATCTGAGATGGTGTGAAGGTGCAGGGGTGTGACCCTTGGTTTTAGATATAATTGTTGATTTTAAGTAGAATAAGGCCCAGAAAAAAGGAAACGAATGCATTTTTGGCCCTATTCAGAATATTTCTGTTTATTTGAACATAGTAGCTATAAATTGGGCTTTATTATTGGCAAGGTTTTTGTAATTAGTTAAATGTCAGGAACCGACTGCTGATTCTAATTCTAATAGGGATTCCTTTTAGTGTATTCATTTGACTCTTGGTGAGAAGGAAAGTAAAGTGAACCTCTTTCATGGGGTTGTTAGAATTAGCTAATGATTGCAAAGTTGAGATCACAAGCAAGAAGTGTCATGTACCCTTGACACGGAGACAACCAAGAGTGTGAACAGCTTCCTAAAATTTAGCTTGTTTTTCTTCCTACAGGTTTGGAATTTCTTCCGTTTCAACAAAAGGTAAGAGTACAGAGATTTTTCTGAGAAAGTTATTTTTATTTCCTTTCTTTCCAATAGATTTCATTTCTCCAGAGTAAGGTAAACTTGTTAGCTCTAGGCGCCCTTCAGATGTTACAACATTGGAGTCTTTACTTTAGTCAAAGCCATACTTAATACTTGTGTATTAAGAGATGGGCAATTAAGAGAAGGTTTTTAAATTACCAGAGACTAAGAGGAGGTTACACCATTTGTTTTGCTTTTTCTTGGACCTCTTCAGAGAAATTTCTACCTTTCTTTCTCATTCTAGTGTCTTGGCATAAAATTTTTGTGTACCTGTCCAGTGTTACGGGATAGTATAAGTGGTAAATGGTAAAAGACTATCTTTTACCTTCATAATTTTATTTCTAGGATCCTACAAAGAAATAATCTTCTATATCTTTGAAGGTTAAGCTATAAGGATTATCACACATTTTTTTTGTAGTGATCAATAACTAGAAACAATCAGTATACCATAGGGAACTGGTTAAATGTGTGCCATAAAATAGTAGACTATATTATTGTTAAAAATAAAATCCTAGGCCTGGCCTGGTGGTCCACATTTGTAATCTCAGGACTTAAGAGGTAGAAGTAGGAGGCTCTTGAGTTTGAAGCCTGCCTGTGTTATTTAGTGTGTTTAAGTCCAGCCTGAGTTACATAGGAGACCCTGTCTCACAAAACCAAGGACTGGCATGTAGCCCACTGATAAGAGTGCTTTGCCTAACCTGCACAGGACCCTGATTTCCATCTCTAGTACTGTGAAAGGAAGAGAGAGAAAATTGTCTGAAACATACTAGATGAAAAAATAATTATGTTCCTATTTTAGTCATGAATGAGCTTGTATGGATAGGAAAAGAAGATTTAGTGAAAGTTCAACACTGATGATGTAAAGGGCTGAAGATGTTGCTCAAGTGGTAGAGCACTTGTGAGGTTCTGAGTTCAAACCACAGTACCACAAGAAAAAAAAGGTGCTATTTAAAGAATGATAAAAGCTAAAATTAATCATTTGAAAAAGAAATATGATCAATAAAGTAAATGTGTGGCTAACATTTGCAGTGTTATTTATAGAATTCTGACATCCTAGAACTACAGAATCACATTTATTTATTTATGCATGCTGTACTGGGTGTTGGACCTTGGTCCTTGGGCATGATAATCAAGTGGTCTGCTGCTTGAGCCCCACCCTATCCCCTCTTTTTGTATTTGGGTTTTTAATACAGTCTCACTAACTTTGTCTTGGTTGGCCTTGAACTCCTGATCCTCTGCTTCTACCTCAAGGGTAGCTGGAATTATAGGCATGTGCCACCACGTCCAGCTGAGAATAACTCTTAAAGGAAAAGAACTGGCTGGGTACTAGTGGCTCATGCTTGTAATCCTAGGTACTTGGAAGGCTGAGATTGGGAGAATTATGTTATGAGGCCATCCTGGGCAAATACTTCGAGAGACTCCCATCTCCGAAATACCAGAGTAACAAAGACTGCAGTTGTGGCTCAGGTAGCTTAGCACCTGCTTTCCAAACACAAGTCCCTGAGTTCAAAACCTACTCCCACCAAAAAGAAAAGAAAAGAATTTAGGGATGTTTAAAAGGATGCATTGAGGGCTGGGGCATAGCTCACGTAGTAGAGCGTCTGCCTCACAAGCATGAAGCCCTGAGTTGAAACCCCTCCTCAAAACAAAAAATAACAATAAAAAGATTGATTAAAATAAAATTCTAAAGGGCCAGGTGAGGTGGTACATACCTGTAGTCCCTGCTACTTGGGAGGTGGAAATAAAATAGAATCAAGGCTCAAGGCCAGCCCAGGCAAAAGTTACTAGCGAGTTTCTATCTCATAAACAAGGTGGATGTGGTGGTGCATGCCTGTAACTTCAGGGAAGATAGAAGTAGGAGGATTGTGGTCTGAGGTCAGCCTGGGCAAAAGCACAAGATCTATCTGAAAAACAACTAAAAGCAAAAGGACTGGGGGCATGTCTCAAGTGGTAGAGTACTTTCAAGGAAAGTATGAAGACACTAAGTACAATCTTCAGTACTGCCAAAGAAAAGGAATATATGAAAAGTTTTTTTGTGGGGGGAGGAGGTGGCAATACTGGGGTTTGAACTTGGCTTCATGTTTACTAGGCAAGCACTTTACCACTTGAGCCACTCCTCCAGCCCTGAAAAGTTTGAAATAATAATTATTCACTAAGTTAGGGTTGGGTCTACACACAAATGAACTGCTTCTTTCTTGTTGGTAATTTCAGGATAGAACATTGACATTAAGTTGCCACAATTTCAGCTGATGATAGTAGTTTTGCTTGATTGTACAGCTATGATCTTTCTCTTTTTTTTTTTTTTCTTTTTGGTGAGACTGGGGTTTGAACTCAGGGCTTTGTGTATAAAACAGGCACTCTACCACTTGAACCATACCTTCAGTAGATCTCTCTTTCAGAAGTTTTTCCAAAATATAATTCTTAGACCATACAATAAATCCATTTTAAGTTTATGATTCATTGTGTTCTAGTTTATTCTGAGAGTTGTGTGACCATCACTGTAGTCTATTTTTAATATCACCCCCAAAAGAAACCTTGTGTCTATTAGCAGTTATATCCCATTCCCTTCTTCTATCCCAGTACCTAAACAACTATTGATTTTTTTCTCTCTAAACTTGCCTTCATATAAATGAAACCTTACAATACATTATCTTTTGTTACTAGTTTCTTTCACTTAGCATAATAGTTTGCTTGTTTGTTTCTTTGGTATTTTAATTTGTTTGGTTGTTTTTGAGACAGAGTCTCACTTATATCACCTAGACTGTAATCCACAATCCTCCTGCTTCAGCCTCCCAAGTGCTGGAATTACAGGCATGTATTACCATGCTGGACTTTTCTTTTCTTCCTCCAGTTCTGGGGATTGAACCTAGGGGCTTGTACATTCTAGGCAATTGTTCTACCATTAAGCTACATTGCCAGCCTAGTGTAATATTTTCAAGGTTGGTATTATAGCATGTATCACACGTATCACTATTCTATTCCTTTTTATTGTGTATAATATTCCATCATATGGATAGATCACATTTTATTTAATTCAGTTATTCGATGGATGTTTTTGTCTAATACGAATAATACTGCCATGAACATTTGTGTGCAGTTTTTTTGTGTGTGTGATATTAGGGCTTGAATTCAGGGCCCACACCTTGAGTCACTCCACCAGCCCTTTTTGTGATGGGTCTTTTTACAAATGGGGTCTCATGATCTGTTTGCCTGGGCTGGCTTCAAACCGTGATCCTCCCGATCTCTTACTCCTGAGTAGCTAGGACTACATACATTAGTCACCAGCTCCCTGCAAAAGCTGTGTTATTTGATGAGTACTCATAACTTTTTTTTTTTTTGGTGGTACTGAAGTTTAAACTCAGGGTCTCAACGCTTGCTAGGCAGTCACTCTCCTGCCTGAGCCACTCTGCCAGCCCCTGTGTATAAAGTTTTTGCGTGAATATATGTTTACATTTCTCTTGGGCATGTATCTAGGAGTGAAATTGTTAGGTCATATAGTAACTATGTATTTAACTTTTTTAGAAACTGCCGAGCTGTTTTCCAAAACAACTGCATCATTTTATATCAACACTAGCAGTAAATGTATAGACATGATGTCTAGACTCATTTTCTGCTTTTTCTTTCTCATTGTTGGATAAAATATATTTGTTCTATATAATCTTTTTATGCTATCTAATTTGATTTGAAGACTATTGACTTAACTTTATGACTTTAAAAATATTAAATAAAACTTTTATTTACTTCTGTAGGTCTGTCATCTGACAACAAGCCTATGGTATGAAATCTTTTTTTATTACTTGCAATGCCAGATCTTAACTCTACCCAGTTAATTTTAAAGTTAAAGACTTCTTTCCATGTCAGAGGGAACTGTCTTGAGATCACGGGTTTGGTAACTGTTCTCAGTATGGAGTTGTATGTCTTAAATAAAAAAATTAAAAATGTTTTTGAGGTACGGAGAGGTCAGTGTTACTATAGACATTTTCCTTCTTACCTCTACTTATTTTGAAAAGATGAATAGATTCCTTGTCCAGTCACTGGTTTTTAGATAATATCTAAGTTGGTTTTTTTTTTTTTCTTTTTTTTTTTTTGCCAGTATTAGGGAAAGAACCCCGGATCTTGTACTTACTCGCATGTGTTCTGCCATTTGAACTACATCCTTAGCCCCATATTGTCTAATTTTTAGCCACAAGAAAATCTGTGGAAACAACTTCTATTTGTAGATATTGGTTTTATTTATTTATTTTTTAACATTACCTTCTAAATATAAACTCAGACAGTAAAGAAGGCTAGACTAAGAATGGCCTTCTGGGCCATTGTGACTAGACATGTTTAGAAAATGGAAATATGCTGTGATAAATAGGTAAGCTTTATGAAATCCTGGCATAATGTTGCCATTCGGTATTATATATACAGTTTGAAATGTTTCTTTATTAACACTTATTAAAAAGAAGTGTTCTAAAAACAACCTGTGATAACAAGTCTCAGACCAGGACTTTTTGGAAGAGAATTTGAGTTCTGGGTAGTGGAAGTAATTTGTCTTCTGAAGAGGGAGAACTGAAGTAAGTAAGTTTAACTTTGGCTTGAAGATAGAGTTAAGAAACTACTTGCGAGACTGTGGTAAGAATTAATGACTTTTTGGAATCATGCATGAGGAGCTGTTGAGAGGTGATGATTTTATTTAATAATGTGGTTGCTTTTTTCAAAGGGGTGTTAGCCTACTTTGATCTTAAAACCCTTCTTAGGCTTTTGTCACCTTTGAGAAATGAAAGAGGCGGGGCTGAATCCTTCACTGCATTCCGGAAGAGGCATTTTAATAATCAGTGATGGGGGATGCACAGGTGCTACTTAGTTCCTGAATTTGGCACATGGTGTATCTTTG